AGGGCCCGAAACGTCGGTTTGTTTGAAAAAACAAATATACGCGATTTAAATCCGGAAAAATAGTTTCATTTCCTATATATAATTACAATTAAATTCTTTGTTAATATTGCGTTATGATGGTTACCTACCCTCTCGGTTTTATACATTAGCAATCTCACCAGACTAGTTCATCTCGAAGTAATTGTTGAACGCCTACCCTTTATATTATGGCAATAAAGCACTAAAAACTTTTGCTTTTTTAGTTTAGTCAGGCACTTTTTCGCAAAATTTTCAATGGGTTTTATTTTTTTAGTTAATGTAGATATGAACTACCTTTAATTCGTGAAGGTAGGAATTATTGGCAATACATACTTCTGGAAAATCTGCTCCCTTCATACTGCACAAAGAGACAACCAGCCAACCTGTTGTCAGAATGGCTGGTCAAAAATTTTTTTTAATTTCTCAGAATATATCACAGGTAGCAATTCTTGAATTTACTCTCAGTGCCAGGCACCACAGACGACCAGCCATCCTGATGGTCACAATGATTTTGTTACATTTAACAAAAGAAACAATTAGCATGGAAACAACCAATCTGCCTAGCTTAGTTGTCGTGGAATTTGATCAGTTATATTTAGAAAATAGCTGAGTTGCTTTTTTGGCTTACAGTCTGTTTCTGGAAGGTTTGTAAATTATTCCAGCATCCCTTTTAGGTCATGTCACAACTCAAACATCCGTAATCGATCAGCATCAGTGAATGTGGATATTTTAATTTATGCAAATTGGCAACAACCTCGATCACAACACAAGAAAGGAACAACTACTTAATAATTCAACATTTTATTACTTCTCAAATTAATAGCAGACTAAAAATTGATTATAGGACTTGTTTTTTTATTTTTTAAACAAATAACAACAATTATAGGTATCTTACCACAACATGTCTTTTTATGGTGTGAAATACTTTAATACATTTAACATGTATATTTTGTGGTATTGAAACTATAAGTGGTATTAATCGTTTAGACTAAAAATCTTACATTACTACTTATTCTACATGAACATTAGCTTTGCGCTCCTCATCTTCTATCTCTTTGAGCCTTTGTTCTATTTCAAATACTTCTTTTCCATTTTCTTTGTTAAATTTGTATGATTGTAATAGTTGTTCTTTTTCTAGCCCCTTTATCCTTTCATACAAGGTTTTGTTGAATTCTTGGTCAACGTCGCTTTCTTCTCTAAGTACACAAAAATAGAATAGGAATACTGTCACACTGCCAACCACAACATATGGTTGATACCAAGGCATTGGATTTGTGGGTGGATTTTTGGCTACAGGTCTGACTACTCTCTGTGCTGCTGCACTTGTTGAGAATTTGATGGGTTCATTTTCATTCAGTTCAACTTTATTACAGTAATATCTTAAACAGTAATTCAACTGAGGGAATTTTCTGTAAACAAAAAGAACAGTTATTTTGGTAATTTTTCTGATTTAATTTACACGTAAATTAGTATTCAAACCAATAGAATATTAACTAGTCAGTTAAACATGGAACACTGTACAATGTTTCTTTTCTAAGAGTGAAATGCTTTTTCAGCTTAACCTGACTTAAGCATGGGGTACATACATGACAAAGAATACATTAAACTGAGGAATTTATTCACTATAATTCAAAATACTGGTGTAAATCGAGTAAAAAAACAGTACGAAACACCGCGTCGGTCACTGGTCGTGGTATTATTGCATAACAGCTTCAAAACTGAAGTAATTGGAGTATACTATATTTAACGCTTTAAGTAGAATGATATTACCGTATTTGAAGTAGATTTCGACTCATTTTTAGAAAAAAAATATTCAGAAAAATGAATAAAACAACATTGCCTGCAGCAAGCTGACATTGACAGTTAGCAGCAGTGTTGCCAGTTGTCAGGGCCCTTTAGTGGAAAATTACACTTTGTTAAAAAGTTACATTATTTTAGGCTGCAAAAGTTGTCCGTTGCAAAAATTGTAACTGTACGATATAATACGGCGAAATCCTAAAAATAAAAAAGTATAATTAAGTTCAACAAAAATCAACATGTAACCAGTAACTAATTGATTTCGAGTTTATTGCCTAGTTTAGGTGCGTTCATGCTGTTTAGGATTTACAATAACAAATATAATTTTTGATTTAAAAAATTGTCTTATAAACAAAACTTATATAATTATTACGAGAGAAGGTCAAAAATTACGAAAAATGTAAGAAATGGACCATTTGGCAGCACTGCTGGTAATTTATCGAGATTTGGCAACGACAGCAAATAAAGAAAAATCTACGCGAATGAAAAAAATAATATTTTACTGACTGAAAATCTCATCAAAAAATCGTATTACTACTCATACCTAGTTTTGCTTTCGTAGATTTGAAGTCATTTCCAAAGAATAGCGTAGAGCATTTCTTATTCTGGAACACAAAAAAATTCTGAAACGATTTTTTTGTCGTATTTCTCTTGGCTTTCCAATTTTCATTCTGTGATATTAATAATTTCCCCGTTATAAGAACGAGTTAGTCAATCTTAGACTATTTTTTTTCCATCCTCTAAGTAGTCAATACATTTTGTAAGTGGCTAAAAAGAAAATGACCAATCTTCTTCCTCCTTTCTAACCCCAAAAATGACTGATCATTAAAATGCCACAGCACTTCGTTAATTTTTTTCCTCATTTTTTATTAAAAACACAAAAAGTACCTACTAAAAAAATATCAACAATTATCAATCTCCTTCCCTCCTTCCTGGTTCCAAAAATGACTTTTATCATTAAATTTTATCCCACCGCCATTGACTTACAATTATATGCCCACCGCACTTTTTTTTAGCGCACGGTATTCAACCAAAACCATAAATTAAACCTTGCCTCACAAACTCATGACCAACTTCAGGTTCAGCTAACAGGCGCTCCCGCTCAGCAATCGCCTTTTCCCGCTTTTCCTTTGCTGCCATTAAACCCTGTTCATTTAATACCTCCTGTCCGTTATTTTCAGAAACCTTTTTCACTGGTCGAGATACTGGCTCAGTTGCTGTAGGTTTCATGAGAAGAGACCAAACATCGCATTGATTTGATACTTTTTGAACTGCTGTACAATAGAAGCTGCGTTGTTCTTGAATTTGAATCCTGGCTTGATCCTAATTATACATCATGATATTATGTTGTATTTTACGTATTTTATATCAATAAATGTTTATAATTTCTTAAAAAATTTACTTACGTATTTTCCTTCTAATTCATTTAATTCCTTTTTGGAAGCTACCAATTGCCCAGCGAGAGCGTCTCTGCGAATCTTTTGTATTGTAACTTGGGCTCGGAGTTCATCGGTCTTCTTTAAGAGTTCGCATTGTTCTTCTTGCAGCTTTGTAGCTTGTGAAATAGCCTCACGTATCGATCGCTCCACTGCTGCTTTCTTCGCTTCGACTGTCCGCAAAAGTATTTATACAAACTTTGACTTTTATTAAGGATGATTATTTATTGACTTATAATTAGGTGCCTACATTCACGTTTCGCTTTTAGCTCAGCCTCCTTATTTTGTTCTTGCAGTTTGATTTTCTTAATAGTGGAACCGAGAGAGTTATCCATTTTTCTAATTTCTTCTAATAAATTTTATAAAAACGATAATTTTCCCGCCAAAATATTTAATCTGTTCCTTTTCACGAACTTATCAAAGTATATGAACACAGTTGTAGCTAAAGCATAGACTTGATACAAGAACGGAACGTTTTTGTTTAGTCAATTTTGTTGTCCGGGAAATTCAAAGTAGGTAACAAATTAACAATCGAAGGTTTGAGAGAACTCATTTTTATATTTCTTCTCTAATATATATTTACATATATTTAAAATGCAGGAACCCGATGTTAACGGATTCGTAAATATTCAATGGCCAAGCAAAAATGTGCCTCATGGCGGTATTTTTCACCCGAAAAGAGCAGAATTGTCGGAAAAACAGCAAAATTTTCTCAAAGGTAAAAGTCAATAAAGCATTAGAAGTTCCTACATTTGTAATTTAGCTTAATGTATTTTAAATATTTACGTATCAAAAAAAAACTAGGTCGGTTTGGTTTAGGAAACGATTTCCTAAATTATAATTAGTATAATATATGGTACATACTTCATAACCTAAGATCAGTCACTGGTTTATTCCTGATTTATTCTTAATGTGAAATAATAATTTCCAGTATTATTGGAAGAATCACGGCTTACACTTGCGCAACGTAAAAAATCTGGATTTAAATTGCGAGAGGAAACGCAGCCAGCGCGCACGCCCAGTGAGGCGCAGATATTTCACTACAACGTACCTAAAGTGCGCCCGCGCACCTCCAAGCGTCGATCACTTTCTGCTATTAGGGCTTCAGGAATATATGAGACTGATGAGTAAGAAAAATATTATTCTTAAGTTTAGTAGGTAGGTAATAAACTTGTATATGCAGTAATTAATAAATCAATTGGACATAGACAAGTCAATCCAAAGTATGAGTATTTGCCAATATGACCGTCCGTCATCAGGTCAAGAGGCGGATTGGCAATTGCAGTATATAGTTACCTAGGTACTGGGCAGATGTCATTTAGCTTATAATTCTGTTTTTAGATACAGACCCTTGAAACGTGGAGAGGATCGAGAGAAACTTAAAGACAAGCTAGCCAATGCAATGGCATACAATGGCAGTGAAGACTTGAATGTGCCAGTGCCTCCTGTGCGACTTTTGAAGCCTGAACCAAAACTTCCTACCAAAAAGGACTTATGGCATGACCGTATGCTACTCTTATTATTGTGTTTAGCTTTATGGTATCAATTTGACCAGCAAATACAAAGGTTTCCTAGATTAAAATATACTACAACTTTTATTTTTAGTTATATCTCAAATCCGCGAACGAGCGGAATGGATAGCAGAAATGGAAGATCTTGGTCACGCGGCACCTCATCGCGAAATCATAAGGGAACAAATTGCGGAACGGGTAAGAGCTCTTGACGCTCTGGGGGTTGACAGCGAATGTGGTTCAGTGAAATCTGGATTTAGCACACTTAGAAGTAGAGAGGAGGTTGACGATACTGTTAGGTCAAAAGATAGTGCAAAGTCCGGCAAAAGCACCAAGTCTAAAGCAAGCGTCGGGATGAGTAATGGCAGTACTAAATCGGGTAAGTTGTTATTTAAAAATGTATGCTGTTAGTCTTTAATTTGGTGAGACCACAGACCGTAGCTTAATAATTTGACACCGCTTCTGAAGCAGAGGCCGTGGGTTCGATTCCGGACTCGCCTGAGTTTTTCGCAATTTATGTGCGAAAGGAGAATGGGCAAAATGGACCTGGGAGCGGCCACTTCAAAAACTACTTTCAATCAATAGATATCATTAATACGATCAAAAAATATTATGGGCACCAATACGTAAGTCATCAAGTTTTCGAAATATCTTGAATAATGTTTATTTTTTAATGTAGATACTTAATATTTGAACTTCTGTCTGGAATTTTGTTTGTGTGGTGTGTATGTTAAAAATGATTACCCAAATGGTGTCTTAAGTTTAAAAGGGTTCTGTGAGCTGTGGAATTATGACACAATTTTGGAATCTGGTCCAGTATTTCTTGTTATAATATTTTTTAGGGAATATAAAAGATATGAAATAAAATAAAATATATTGTTTCAAAACTCATTTACTTCGTCTATTATCACTTCATCTAAATATGATGCTGGAAGATTAAGAGCTCCTTGGTGCCGTGCCCACCCTAAATACCATACAATCGACATGACGTGAGCACAGCAACCCAAGGTCCGTCTACCAGTAAGGCACGTACAATAGTGTTGTATTATGCGCGCTCTTCCAACGCCTTCCCTATTTACTACTATATATACATAATATACTCGTGCTCTGGTGTGTCTTGATTGAATACGTCCTCTCAAAAGATAGCAATCTCCAGTTACATGCATTTGCGGAATATCTATAGATTCATCTTCCATAACTTCTATAAAGTACACTCCATCTCGTAAGTGCTCGCTACAATACGACCGAGCAAGCTTTATTTGATAACTACCTAAAGCAAACAGTATTAAATCTCTTTCTTCTAATTGTGGAAAATCATTTATAGTTAAATAGTCAGCTGATATAGAAACAAAGCTCACACGGTGCCTATTTAAATTGTTATTAATGACGTAGTCGGCCAGTAAGTTGTCTACATTAATTTTCAAATGAATTTCATTTAATATATCATTTGCGTAAGGTCCATCGGTAAAAGGTTCCCGAAAAGCATTAAGAATGGCTGCGGCATTTTTAAAATCTTGGAACATGTGTGGTACGGCCCTATTAAAATACTTCTGCCGTAACAATTTAAAATCTCTTTTAAAACGCCCGTTAATGGCTTCAATTACCCATCGACAAATTGTAACAAGCCGCGACTTGTTTGCTTGACTAGTTGAGAGCTGCGTTTCATTGTTTTGCTTTGACGCTGGCATATGAGCTGTGTAACCACAAGATTCAATAACTGGTAATGAATCCCTAAAACCCCTTTCCAAGATAAATACATCCCCTGCTTTAAAAAACCAATGAAATACCGAGTCTTCTGACATTAATTGTGTCATAATAGTTGAGTCAGATGTTGTTGCCGCAAAAGGTCCAACTACGTCAATTATGTATCCGTCACTACACGTAATAATAAATGGTTTTAGCAAGTTTTGAAACTTATGTAAGCTGTATGTAAGACGTTGGAATGAAAAATTAGAACTCTTTTGTATATAAATGTACGTGCCATCAAATATAAAGATTAATCTTCTATCTTCTTCAGATTCTGGATTCCCAAAAATAGCATTAGGTATTAAAAGGTTTCTCCTCTCTACTTCTCCTCTCGTAATATGGTCAATTCAGAGGTGACGCGTTACAAAATCGTTGCTTAAACATTCTCTTGATTGTTTTAATAAGCGCTCAAAGGTGCGTCGAGATATATTAAAAAGATCGGACAGTTTTGTATTTGACTCTCCCGTTCTTAGCTTACTAAGGTAGATGCCCAGAGCAACTATAGGTCGTTTACACCTTTGAGTCAATAAAGGTGTCTCTTCTATAATTTGTTGAAACTGCGCCGGTGTAACTCCAGTCCAGAAAAATAATTCATCAGCATCAATATTTTCGATATTTTCGAAATTAAAATGTGCAGACTTTTGTAAAGATCTCTTAACCATTTCAAATACATCCGTGACTTGTTCTATGGTAAATGAATTTAATAAAATAGGCGAACCAATTAATATCTCCCAATGGTTTGATCGTATATGTTCTGGGCATATTCTAGCCTCGTCAGGTATGTATATATTGTGATCACAAAAAACTTTAGTTTTAATGCGATGTGGAATCCTCAAGTGCGTTTCTGATTCACATCCCGGAAACAAACAACGTGAAGCAGTGTTTGGCAGACGGTAATAATTAGGTATAGAAACAGGGAACTGATCTGTCGAGATTTCATCACGAGCCGATTCTTGTGGTTGGTTTCTTGATTGAGCACGTTCAGCTCTTTGCCAGCAAGGGCGACAGATGTAGTTTCTTCTATTTTCAAATATAGGATTAGGATCCACGCGGTCACCAATATAATCCATTAAAAATGGATTAGCATCAAGAACTTCTTGTGAGAGAGAATAACGTCTTCTGTTTCGAACTGAAACGTGACATGTAATGCAAGTTTCCATTTCAGTCACGCACACACCACTTTACTAAACAAGAATGTCCAAGATCAAGCCTAGTTGTTATCCAAGAATCAACACCGATACAAATCGCAAAGCAAAATCAGTAGTCCGGTAAACAGTAATCAAGGTCTTATGAGGATCAGCAAAGAATCGACAGCACAGAACAGTTATTAGTGAAGCAAGTCAACAAACAACTAAACTAAGTTAATTAAACACGCATGCACCTGGATGCACGTGCACATAAGAGGGTAGGAGGGAGGGGGGGGGGCTAGTTTAGGTCCCGGCGGCATGACTCCACAAAGCATTGTTTTATTTTATAGAAATATCCAGTAGACAAAGGAATATTTGTCAAAAATGTAACACGTGTTCATTTATTACTTGGACAATTGTATTGGTCATAACTTTTTTTACACACAAAATACGACTCTGACTCCATACTAAGTATTGTTTGTCGTAACATAAAGAATTATAAAAACTATGTTTTTGAAGTGGCCGCTTCCAGGTCCAAGGCCCTTGTATTTTGCCCATTCTCCTTTAATTTGAAATTTACCATGAGATTTTCGGTGAAGGAAAACATCGTAAGGAAAACCTGCACGTTGAACAAGGTTCACGACAGGAAAACGTGTAAGTCCCCAAGCCCTACCCGCATTGGGTCAGCCTGGCAGACTATGGCGTAAGTCCTCGCCCGAGAAGAGACCGTAGAAAGATTTTTGAGGCATTGTTTTCAAATATGTTCTGTTAAAATATGAATAAATTTCTTAGATCACTCTCGTCGTTCGACCGATTCGCAAAGAAAAGCAAAAAGTTCTATAAGGAGCCGCATAAAGAAAGAAGATGAGAATGTTGCTGCTTATGATCATCTGTCGCCGTTACAACATTCGCCAAGACGCAGAGTGTAAGGGCTCATTCAGAGTGCAGGTGCGGGCGCGGTGGTCTTGGCGTCTTCCCTTTCACAGTGCGGAAGCGGCTACATCCACACGTCGAAATCGCAAAAAGGCGCTACACGCTAGACCAAGCACTGTAAAAGGTACGTGCTCACAGAGCCAATAGATCTACCCGCACGGGTAGATAGATAGAGATCTAACTGCCTCGACCTAGGCGTCGGCGTGCGCGGCCTCTGTGAACGCAACGGTGTCTTCGTATATTTGATTTAGGTACACGCACCCGCGCCCGCCGCCACTCTGAATAAGGCCTAAGTTATGACAAATAAGAATAGTTAATGTCATTGGTACTGCAAACATTAATGGGCTTTACACACATACTAGCGCGCGTGTACGACGTTGGAAGGAAAAGGGAAAGAGCGCGCGATATCGCTCATCAGTCGCGCGCGCAATCGCGCACTTTAACACGCCAGTTTCACGCGGTCTATCCTGCGGTATTCCTCTTTACACGGACGCTCTTTCCGTTTTGTAACAAAAATAAACACGAGCAATCGCGCGCGAAAGAACGTTAGCTTAAAAAATTACAAACAGGTAATAGCGCACGATTGCGCGTGCAGGCTTTCCCGCGCGCAATCCTGTACGCTCTTGATTACGCGCGATAGAGTGACTGTGTAAAGGGGGCTATTCTTTACATGATTAATTGTGATAGTTCAATAATTTTATTAAAGATATTAATCTAGTCTGTGGCCTAAATTAAATAAAAAGTTCGAATAATACAAAATGGATCTTTATTTTAATCGTCATCATCAATTACTATCGTTTTTATTCTTTTGTATTTAGGATCATTTGATGCAAGTGATTTTCTTTTCTTAGATTCACTTTTGTTCCCAGTTTCACTATTATTGTCTAAAGTTGTTGTTGTAGATACTTTTGGAGTAACAGATTTAGTTTCCTTTGATCCCCTGTTATTTTCAGTTTTGCCATTGCATTCCGTAGTTGGTGTGTAACTTTTTGGTGCTGGAGATTCCAGCTCAAAGGGAGTATACTTCCTAACTGGCATCTTCAAAGTAAAGTTAGGGTCTTTAACTAAATCCATATGAACACCATGCTTTATATAACTTATTGTTGAATATGCTGTAAAATGAAAATCTTCCTCTAGATATCCTTCCAGTATTAGATAGGTAATAACATCTTCACCTAATGATCTAGAAAAATTTGGTTCTTTGCCTTTATGCCTCAAATTGACAGGGCCTTTCAAAAACCAAGCATCCAAGAGTTTTTGTGCAGTCAGCTTTGTGTCTTGGTTTAAGGCATTTTCAATTATGAGCGCCAAGGTTTTACAATGATCTTTAAGTTCTACTTCTCTTGTGACGCTTGCCTGTGAAGCACAAACGTCACACATCTTGTTGCAATCTGCATCACCCCAGTTTTCATCAAAGTGTTCAGCTATAAGTTGCCTTCTGCACAAAGATCCATTAAGACAATATCTAACCATACCATACATATGTTCTGTGCCTCCGACAGAAGAAAATACCATGGTACTGACTTTAAAAACATCCTGCATTCTGTACAAAGTCACACATTCAGCTCTCTGTCCATCACGGCCAGCTCTTCCACTCTCTTGGTAGTAATTTTCCATAGATTTACTAATTGTGTGATGTATAACAAATCTTACATCTGGCTTATCAATGCCCATTCCGAATGCAACAGTAGCTACTATAGCTTGGTAGTATTTCTCATACCATTTTGTATGGACTTTACTTCTGGTGTCTGCTTCCATGTTAGCATGATAGCAGCCTACTTTCAATCCTCTTTTGCGAAGGCCTTCTGCAATGTCTTCTGAATCTCTTATGCTATGCGTGTAAATTATACCACTTTCACCTTTATATCTATATTTCAGTAATTTTTCCAAAATTAATAAGCATTCTTCTTGTGATGAAGGTTTCTCTAAAATTTTGTAGAACAAATTGGGTCTGTTAAAGGGTGACTTAATAACCAGGCTACCAGGAATATTAAGGATTTTTTGTACATCTCCCAGAACAGTCGAAGTAGCTGTTGCAGTCAACCCCAATATGGGTGTGTTAGGGAACATCTTAGGCAATATACCAAGGAATTTATAGTCAGGCCTGAAGTCATGTCCCCATTGTGAGCAGCAGTGTACTTCGTCTATAGCTATTCTCTGCAATCTACCATCAGTATAACATTTCTCCAGATTAGACATGAACCTTTTGCTTTTGGCAAACCTCTCAGGAGTCACATATAGCAATTTCACTAGGGAATTTTTATTTTTCAGAATGTCTAACACTTCTTTGTTCACTTCTTTGGCAATTTTGCTAGTTATTAACATTGCTGGAATGTTTTTGTTCGATAAAGATCTTACTTGATCCTCCATGAGTGATATTAAGGGTGATACAACAATTGTGAGACCAGGTTTTACTAGCGCCGGCAGCTGGTAGCACAGGCTTTTACCGGCGCCTGTGGGCATAACTACAATGGCATGCTGACCTGATAATGTAGAATTTATAGCAATCAACTGATTTTGCCTAAATGTATCTATCTTGAAAACATTCTTCAGAGTTCTTTGTACATCGTCAGACCACTCGTAATTATTCTGTGACCAGTCAACGACAGCTAAAGCTTCAGATTTCATTTTGTTAATAGTATCTTTTAGAAAAGTTTTCTTCTGTTGTAAATCCCGCTGCCGTCTCTTGAGCTGCGCTAGCTCAACATCCACGTTCTGTAACTCATTGTCGATATCTTTTAACTCGATTTCTATTTCTTTTAAAGTACTCATGGTGTAAGTAAACACCGAAATTCAAAGAGTAAATCAGAGTATTTGTTGGACTTAGATAAACTTTACACAACGAACACAAGCAACATATTTCTAATTTATGAACCTGAACACGAAAAAAGAAACCTGAACACAACACAAGCAGCTGACGAACAGCTACAACCACAAATTAGAAAGATATAGTAGGAACAGATAGGTAACAGGCCCTTTAACGGAACCATTCTCAAATCACTTCACGTAAAGGTAGTTCCGTGCCCCGTGACAGCACGCTGGTGGCGCTAGTGCACCGAATAGTGTCGCGCCTCAAAGCTTTGTGGATCGGTTACTATTAGTGATGTCCTGCATCGCACTTTTACGGTAAAAATTACGGTTTCATTGATCCTAGCTAGTTTTTCATATTGCTAATGTTTTGTGGTTTAAAATAAAATACTATATTTTCAGTTATATCTGTTTATTAATAACGAAAGCTACTACCGTTTCGTAAAGGTGTTAACGCATGGGAGAAGAAACGGCGAAAGAAACTCCCAACAACACATCTTTTAAATCTAACAATTAATGAATGATAACAAAACACAATTATTAAACAAAAGGTCGCTCCGCGGATTAGGGCGCGTTCCCACTATGTCGTCACGATTTATTATCGTTGGACAACTGTCGTGTCTAGTCAGTTCCCATATCACGACTATATGTCGTGGACGATTTTTTATCGTTGAACAACTGTCGTGACTAGCTGTTCCCGCTAGATCGTGACGACAATAGGAGCTGCGACAATCTGTCGTCACGTTTTTATCGTGACGTTTTTTTATCGTCAGATGACTGTCGTTTTAGATGTTCCCACTGTAACGACAGTTTGTCGTTGTAACGATAAAAAATCGTGAACGACAGTTAATCGTGTCGTGCTATATGTCAACAACTTCATTTAAATATACAAGCCACGACATTGTAAACTGCACGACGCCTTAGAGCACATAAGTCAAAAAGCAACATCATTCGTTTATAGTAATACATTTACCGACTTAACACAAAGTCTAATTAATTTTTACTTTAATTTGACTTAAATTCTAGTGGCGTCTTTTTCAGATTTATCATTCTCTTCGCATCTTTCAACATTAGAAACAATAAGAAAATATATAATTATATATCAAAGATTTGTAGTGAAGTAAACATAACGATCAGTTTTTTTTTAAGTTATCGAACTCACAGTAGTAATTATAAAAATCGTTTATGCAAAATTCGATACACCAACAAAATTATTACATGTTAAATGCTGAAAAGTACATAGATAAAGTGTCACTAAATCCTTGAAAACACCGTGAAATCGCATTATCATGTCACATTGTCGTGTTAAGGCATCGAGCATGTTAAACTAAGTAACATAACTTTTATTTTTGTCAGTCGATATGTTGAATATTGTGTGTGTGAAATGAAATGAAATGAAATATTTATTCACAAGCAAACACGGTAAGAAAAGATATTATTATACAAGGTGGCAATGATACAAATACTTGTCTTAAAGTATGTTGAAGGCTAAGGTACGTTGTTTGGTTCTCCTAAAACATTCATTCTCTACCATTTTGAGTGTGCTATGATTATCATTAAAAATCGTTATAGGTTCTGGTGGTGACAGGCTGCTGTATTTGAGTTCGAATAAAAACATGTTTTTAAATTTTGCCTCTTTTGCAGAACTTCCAACAGTATAGTATTCAGCTTCAGTGCTAGAACAAGCCACATTGTTGTTGTTTGTGACTGTACCAATTTACAATGCAAAAGCCGAACCTACTCAGAAACCCTGAATATGACTTTCGATTAGTCTTATCCCCAGCCCAATCTGCGTCAAATGAGATTTCAACTTTACTACTACCTCTACTAAAATTGAGTCCGTAGCTAGTTGGAATTGAGCAACTCATATAGCATATTTTTATGGTGTTCATTTGAACTAAATATGAAGAAGTCATCATCATAAAGTGCTATGATGGCCTTGTCTTTGTAATAAATACATTTTTCAGTCTTTAATTGAGTATAGCCATTGGTAATTAAAATTTTATGCACTTTTTATTCCAGGTTCTACTGGCTTGTTTGAGTCCATATAACTCTTCTTGAGCAGACAAACTTTGCCCCTCAATTTCAAATTCAGTAGGTTGCTTCATGCAAGTGCATTCATTACTATCTCCATTGAGGAATGCCGTATTAATGCATTCGTTGATTATGATAATCTTTGGGCATGCAGGTAATGGTTTAGCTACCGAGGTGTCTTTTGCTGTGCACAAATTAGAAAGATATTTGCTGTGTAAAATAACTCACATAGGCATGCCTATGAATGCGGTTCCTGTGCGTAAGCGACGATGTTAATCTTGAGCTGTGACGCCTTAGGAGGTCTATCCATACTCGTTCCAGATCACACTACCGGCATAGGTTTGCTGTCTCCGGTGTGGATGAACAGCCGTCGACGAAGCACTTGTGAACACGAGACATATCTCTGAAAACACAAAAAGAAACAAAACAAACAAAGTACAAACCAATAAGTTGAAATTGCAGAAGTCCCACGCCAACAAGCTGTTCGCTGATTGTTTATGCAACAAAAAAAGTTTTATTAGAAATAGTCAGTAATCTATAAAATATGTATATACAGGGTGTAACAGCAAGGTGTAGTCATATTTGAAGGTCGGATTCAGTTAATGGTATGAAACTATTTAGCAAAGTTGTTTTAGTACAAACTACGTTATTTATGGAAATTTCGCCATGAACAGTTTCGATCAGCTGATGTCATTTAACGAAAATAAATAGTCACATCACATCTCTATTGAGTATCATAATACAACCAAATTACGTAACTTGAAAAAATTGTGAAATTCAGGCATGTTATTGTAAATGATAAAGTACTTAATGCCATATTCTTATTACTATGTTATAATTTACTAAATTTATTATTATTTTATTCATGTAATATGCGAGTGAACATTTAATGAAAAATAAATATTATCGATTACTTTGCCAAAATACACTAGTTCATAATAAAACTATTATTTAAAACTTAGTACATAATAACGTAATATGGTTTCGTTAACTTCATATCTTCAAACATACAAAATACACAAATTTCCATTTAATATCCATTAATAAAACTAATGTCCTCTAAAAAACACATATTTAAAGTTATCTCTGTTTCTTTTTACCATATCATATGTAATAATACGCATTCATCTATTGTATTTTAATGAATGAAATTTGTCTCTTTCTATCCGTCGGTACTGTTCTAACGCATGGCGGCTAGCGAATCAGTCGGTATGTTTCTTCTAACGCATGACGCAATATGACGCAATTATCCGACTAATACTTCGCACCCTTACAATGAAAGCGACCCAAAACAAAAAATTAAAAAATGAGTTTATACCGTAAAACCATCTTAAAAAAATATTTTGTTACATTAGTCACACTGTGGTGAGGATGAAATTGTGCAATTATAAAGCTCGAGTAGCACTGATTCATAAAGGTCCCTTTCATTTTGTTCTTTCAGTTTAAAAATTCTACTCCCGCGTCGAAATATTAACGCCGCATTTATTGTTGAATCTGCATTTGCAAAGACAACACGCTGCCACTGACGGATTAGCATTTGAGCCATTTTCGTTCCGAAAATCATATTCAAAAATCACTAGTAGCAGTAGAGCTCCTTGTGAGTTCGTCCAGGGTAGTACTGCCACATTACCGTGTTACAGTTTTGAAGGGTAAGGGTGCTGGTGAAATTACAGGCACATGGGACTTGTCAACTATGTCTCAGAGAGATGGACGCCGTAGCAGTAGCCTTCGAGCGGCAGTGCTACTGTTATGGACAGGCGTGACGCTTTCCACCGGGTACACGACTTGTTCGACCCGTCGCTTAATATTTAAAAAAAAAATTTTTTTTAGTAACTTACTTTTTAAAGGGACTTACTTTTTTGTTTCGTGGACTTTCTTCTTTTTTAATTGTGAAACAGGGACCACAAAACAATATCAAGGGTTATGACATCTTGCTTAGCTGATGAACATTAAAAAGACTTAATTCTTAATACGTTAAATGATAACAAAAAATCGTTAAAAAAAAGACCTATTGGCGACTAGTTTTTGTAAATTATGTTTTTAAATTGTTGAACATTAAAATGATCAGAAACAATTTTCAGTTGTAAAGTTCCATTTTTCCTCATTATTTTCAAAGACTAATAAGGCCATCACCTTTAGTACTTCAAGAGTAGGTAATAAATAAAATAATATGAAAATATGAAAAAACTTGAAATCTTATTTTCTTTTTTATTCCCAAAAAGTTGAAATTTTGTATTGGGACACTTTCATCGTAAAGGTGCAACCTGAAGGTCGGTAAACGTCAAGAAATTAGTTTTGATCGTTGACCACGAATTAATTATTGTAATTTTAATTTAATTTAATTTTTTTTTTATGATTGATTTAGTGTCTGTTTAAGTATATCTAAATGTTTTAAAATGAATGTTGAGCACAGTAATAATTGGGCACAGATATGCCTGTTGTATTAATTTTTAAGTGTTTTTATTTTCCTCACTTTCTGTATCTGATGTCTGTACATTGTGCCATAAATAAAAAATAAAAAATAAAAATAAAATAAATTTTCATCACTTGCTTGGAAATGAAAACATCGTGAGAAAACTTGGATTTCGGAGATAATTGCCGAAATCTTCAAAGATGCGAGAATGTCAAGTTTCCAACCAGTACTTACTATGCAAGTGCAGTGGACTAAACCTTGTGCAAAAAATAGTACTTTACTAACTTACATACGTCTATTGCTGAGCGCACGTTTCTAACAACAGGCTTACGCTTAATTTGACTTATCTACACACGACAACTTTCTGGGTATGGGTTTATTACATGGTGAAATTGAAATAATTAATATCCGTTGAACCTATTAAGGTTCTTACTTCCTAATAATATCTACTCATCTAAAGAAATATTTTAGAATAGTTTAAATTAGCAATAGTGTAAAACCATAAAAAATCTTACCTAAATAAACAAAGTATCAAGATTAGTCGCCTTGCGTACGCGATACGTAATCGTAGCGAAGTCGCAAGCCTTTGGCGGCAACTTTGGCGGCAAAAATATCACCTTTGATTTTCGCCGCCAGCATTTGATTTTATACATCGTGATGTGGAGTAGTGGTTAATGTTAGACTCGTTTCGGAGGTCGTGGATTCGATTCTCATAGTTGACTGGCTCTATGGGGTAGTTGTTAGAGTGTTAGGTTTTCTTTGCGGATGTCGTAGATTTGATTCCCATAGTCGACTGCCTCCATAGTCTAGTGGTTAGAGCGTTGGGCTTTCCTTTCGGAAGTCGTGGATTTGATTCCCATAGTCGACTGCCTCTATGGTGTAGTGGTTAGAGTGTTAGGCTTTCGTTTCGGCGGTTGTGGATTTGATTCCCATAGTCGACTGCCTCCATGGTGTAGTGGTTAGTGTTAGGCTTTGTTTTCGGAGGTCGTGGATTTGATTCCTATAGTCGACTGCCTCCATGGTGTAGTGGTTAGAGTGTTAGGCTTTCGTTTCGGAGGTCGTGGATTTGATTCCTATAGTCGACTGCCTCCATGGTGTAGTGATGGTTAGTGTGTTAGGCTTTCGTTTCGGACGTCGTGAGTTTCCGATGGGTGACTGCCTCCTTAGTGCAGTATATCCGTAATCACTCAGTCAGTTCTTGCGTTATGTGGAAGTGGTACGGGTGATGGTCAGAGCTTGTTAACAAACAATGGCGTATGCAGTGCAACGTTGAAGGTCGTAGACGTAGGATATAGGTATTCGTTTAATGTGTATGTAATGATGTAATTTGTATCAGGAGAAGGGTCTTATTTCAAAAGGATGGTAATAATTTTAATTTCATCCTGTAGGTACATTATGAAAACGTTACCCTATATTCCAAAATTTGCGTTTCAGTCGGCGTCCTTTGATGTGCCGCCGCTGAGGCAGAGGTGCTATTTTTTAATTTTTTGTAACAGTCTGTAATTGCCGTTTGCGTTGTGAGGACTAAATAGGTGTCATCGTTTTGTTTGTGTCTTGTTTTTGTGTTTATTTAAACTATGTCACGCTTAAGCAATAGTGATTACTAAGAGATGATGTTGTGCGTAGGCGCAGCCGATGGGAGCTTGCGCCAGTCTCGCCAAATTTATTGGGCAAAGTTTATTGATGGCGTCCCAGAAAATCGACGTCGACCATTTCCTGCTGTGGAATGCTTCAGGAAGATGGTTATGAGACTTCATAATAGTGGATCGTTCCGTGGTTCCAGTTCTGAAGGCCGGCCGAGTTCACGAGACCCAGAATTCGAGGCAGATGTTTTGGAACATTTTCTCGGCAATCCAAAGACAAGTACTCGTCGTGCTGCGGCAGCCTTTGGTGGTGTGAACCATATGAGTGTGTGGCGTGTGCTACGGGATGATGGCCAGCACCCATACCATTTTCAAAGAACGCAGGAGCTGTTACAAGCGGACTATGATCTACGTTTGGCATTTTGCCGCTGGTACCGCGACCAGGTTGGGAGGTCTCCCGACTTCGCTTCGTCGGTACTGTGGACAGACGAGGCGTCATTTACGCGTGCGGGCATTATCAATATGCATAATGAACATTTTTGGACTCATTTGAATCCCCGCGTATCAAGGGAATCAAATTTTCAACACCAGTGGCGGATTAACGTGTGGGCTGGTATAATAGGTTGTGCCGTCATCGGTCCAGTGTTTTTGCCGGCAAGTCTGAATAGGGCCAATTATTTAAGATTCCTAACAGAAGACTTGGATGACGTTCTGATGGCCCTGCCAGTGACACAATACGTGAGACTCGTGATGGAACACGGGATGACTTTCTAGCACGATGGAGCACCCGCACATTTTGCTCGAAATGTACGTTCCCATCTGAACGACCGTCTCCCGCAGTGGATTGGGCGGGGAGGTCCTGTACCCTGGCCAGCGTGGTCCCCAGACTTGACACCGCTCGATTTTTTTTGTGGGGTCATATAAAAATATTGTTTATGCGGAGTCCTGTGAAAGCGCAGAAGAACTGAGGCAGCGGATCGAAATGGCGTTTAGTCAAATCACTCGGCAGATGCTTCAAAGAGTAGAGCAGTCTCTGTACCGACGCACGGAAATATGCATATTGCATGGAGGTCGGCATTTTGAACCTTACCTGTAAATGTGTGAAATGTGCCAGCAGTGCTTGTAGTGATTGTACTTATTATTCAAAATTATCGTAAACAAGTCAATATTTCGTACATTGTACAACAGTGAATTACAATTCGTAGGAAATTCATTAAAACGTGTATGAATTGCACAGTAGGTAAGTACCAATTAAAAAAGTATCCACTATTGTAAAATTGTCGTAAATAAATGTATTAATACAAAATTATGTAGAATGTGTATACGATGAAGGCGTGCGTAACTACGGGCTTAATAAGTAAATAAATATCCTTTAAATTGTATGTAAATAAGTACGTACCTAGGTATGGCATAAAATAATATTGTTAGAAATAATTCGATTTTTCTAGGTATTTAAAGATTTTGTTACTTAATATTAACGTGTTATCAACATATTCAAATCATGTTTTTACAGTGGCATTTCAATTGTAGTCAGCTGTTCTTTCGCCCCGCTTGCGGCCGCCCAGGTTTCATTAATGAATTTGTGAAGTCGTAGTAACGTAACTAGCAATAGAGTTGTGACGCAGTGGTTGTTTCGGACAATCACTATTTATACAAACATAATTAAAGTTATATCAACATTAAAAGTCACTTATTTTTATTTGATATTTTGCACAGAGGGTCTAGATCAAGTATAGGTTTGGCTCCTTTAATATGACTACACCTTGCGGTTACACCCTGTATATATATAATAAATAAAATCTTTGCCTCGCAAAGCGAAAAGGAAAACTCAGAATTCTAGAAAAGAAAATTAACGGTGTAATTTATTTCTTTTATGTCGAATCGGACAATCATCCTTCCTGCATCGTGATTATGGTCTCAAAATTAGATTTTTTTAATGTAAGATTTATTAAAGTTTTAACTTTAAAAAATCTTATTATAACAATAAATTTAACACGTCAATTTATTATGCATTTAAAATAATTTACATAATTTCATTCCAAGAGTTACCGATTCTTTATTAAATTGTTAGACATATTTCATTTCTAATGTTTTTTGTGCCAAACGCCATGGGCCTCGTACGTCCAGTTAAATAAGACCATGGAGGTCTTATCCACTCATCTTACCCAGTACGTAAAGGTTCTGAATAAAATGGATGATGAGGATGATCTTCTATGGTCGGCTCAAATACTAGAGTGTTTCTGTAGCGTGGCTACAACTACAACTACTCTATCAAACAGAATAACCAAACGCTAATATGCGGTTAATTGTATCCGTTTTGGCCAAGTTAAAATTTCACAGGCAACATTTTAATGTAACTGAAAAGGAAATAAAATGTTGCTATTTGGTTGAATAGTTGGCAAATTTTGTCTTCAGTTTGATTTACATGGATACAGTAATAAGCGCCAGAATACTGGCATGCCAGCGCTGATATTGGCCAACAATGTGTTCACAAAAATTAAGCAAATCGTTATTTTCGTTCACTAAGTAGTCTGTGGTTCTTTTGTTCTAGCGGTTTCCATTATGGAATAACTAGTGTTTCCATACGTTTCCACACGTGATACAGCGTGAAATTTAATTTCGTTGCAAAAATGTCAACAATTTCAGCAAATTGTTTCAACGTTGCGTCTTTTATGGTTAGTAGATGAGCTGCTTTTTGTAAACCCATTATCAAAGTGTTGTCGCGCTTGTCATACATATGGCACTATTTGTTAGAGGTGGGTGATAAATAACGTCACGATGAAAAAATCACGATGATCCGCCGTCAAATAATATCACCGTGACTCGTTCTGAAGGAACGACACTCCAAAGTCACTTAGGTGTTCCTCCGTTCCAATAGCTATCCCCGTCACTCACATCACGATATACGTATTTGATACAATGCGCGATCTCCGTTCCGTGGTGACTGAGCGCGCCACTCGTTGTAGTTCTCTTCATATCGAGCCATTTCGGCGATGGGAGTGAATGAAATAGGATGACTTTCTTTGCTCACTCACAAGAGTCGTAGGTGCTTATTACTACTAGAAAGGGCGGATGAAAAAAATCTGCAGCAGTTATTATAAACCTATTTATGAACAAAGTAAAATATTTGTGTATATTTACGTACGTACATACGTAGCGACAGTCACGGCGATAGAAATGTAACGCTATTTCCCATGTCTACTACTTCTCTGGGCAAACTTTTTCACAATGAGCTACTACAGTTGCTCTCGTGATAATTAGTCAAAAGTTACTATAGAAATGTAACCAGTAAATGTAAAAATGGCGCCAGCGATTGAAACATTTATTTATCTGTCCAATGACTCTGCCACAAACACATTACAGGATGTGGCATTTGAAAAAGCGAAGATCGACGGAATGTAACATTGTACAGACACGTGTTATTTTTCTGTCTATAAATCACATAAAAGCCCAAATATCTCATGTAATTAGACATATTTAAGTAGTTTATTCATAAATGTTGCCAAATTTTACTTTGGTTTCTTCAGATTGCCTGTTTGTTTGTATATTTTGATGATTGTTGTTAACGATTATTTTGAGATAGTGTTGTTCTTGGAAGCGTACATATTATCGATGCTCTGTTATTAAAATAATTCACTACGATGTTTTTATTATTATTATTTTTACTATTTCAAGTTTTTCCTACAAATCAAAAAAGAAAAAGAATGACTGGAAATCATCCGCCGTATAATAGTGCCGAATATAAACATTGAATCAAAGACCATCTTCATTTAGTCGCTTCATTATGAAGAGTCAAATTTTAACATAACTTTGAATGTAACTAGATTACATGATAATGCAATTCCATCATTAGGTTTATTGGTAAATAATTTTATATTTAATTTAGATTCACCAAAACTCATTTACTAGGCATTCTCAGTTCCTAAAAACAAAATTATCCACTCGTTTCCGATTTTTTTCATACGTTTTAACCATACTTTGGTTACAGTAAACTAAAGAAACATTTGCGTGTCGATAATGACTTATCGATAGATTATGGTACAACACTAAAGAAAGCTGCCATTTGTAGCGTTCAATTTTTGTTTAGATAATATGTATGTTCATTCTGTAGTTAGGGCAGTTCTTTTCCTTTATTTTTTTCCATCCTCTAAGGAACAGAGTGATTTTTTGCCGATGACAAACAGTGTCGTTTAGTGTCAGCTCGCTATCATGCCAGTACCACTGGCACCGGTCACTGTATCGATGCACAGCAGTCCATCATAGCGTGTTCGAAATGAATGGGGCATTTTACGAAGTACTTGTAGACGTGTATAGCATGCATTTATATTTTTTATGTCATTCGAAATCATAGTCTTGTTGAAAGTGAACTCAGATATACTACGCTGCGCCATTTTCATGTTTGTTCGTGGCACAAACTAATAGGAGATACTACGTATCGTGAGTTGAATGGGCGCGTTGTAAGAAAGAGACGCATGAGAAAATTACGTCGACGACTGCGGCGGCACTATGGTAATAATATGAGATGGTCATTATCTTAACACATTCGATTTGAGTAGTAAACATGCGTGGTCTGTTTCTTAAGTTACTGATAACGTAAGTTTGTACTGTTTATTCTTTTACAATCATTGGTTTTATTAAAACTTACTAAGCTTATAACAGTTTCAGTATCTCAAGGCTTGCATCAGGTAATGGTGAAACAGCAATCTTGATTTTAGCAAGAGGAGGATCGAAAGGAGTTAGATTAAAAAATCTTCAAACAGTTGGGAGAGTGACTTTACTCACTCGAGCTATACATTTGGCAAAATTGACAGGAATAGAAGACGTCACAGTCTCTACAGACCATCCTGCTATAGCTTTAGAAGCAATAAAAAGTATGTATCAACAAACAAGTTACTTAAATTACAATCACCATTAAGTTTTGACTACCTATCTTTATCTTTTTAAGGTGGAGCAGCAGTTTTTCGCAGAAGTAAAGTTACAGCATCTGATCGGGCTCCATCGATTTGGGGAGCTGCCGAATTTCTATATTCAAGAACCGAAATCCACATTCTAGCCTTGATTCAGGCTACATCACCATTTACCCGCGCCAACTACTTACGGGCTGCATTGGAGAAAATTCGGCGTCCTAGAGCGTTTGACTGTGTATTTTCAGTTACCAGGTATAATATAGTAATAAATAAAAAGTTGAATCTTGATTTCTTTAGTTCAACTTTGACTGTGACGGTCATTTCAGGAGTCACAAACTACGCTGGAAAGAAATAAATGGCACTCTTTCTGCAATAAATTTTGACGTCTCTTCTAGACCTCGCAGGCAGGATTGGAGTGGAGAATTATTAGAAACTGGCGCATTTTATATAGCGAGACGACAATTAATTGAAACAGGACACTTTCAAAACGACAAGTTGGTAAATTCGCAATTCCGCAAGATTAAGAGAACCTCCCTTTATTACCTTGTAAAGTCGGTTAACCTTTATGTAGCACCAACGAAACGCAAACGTCACATGGCGCACTTATTTCGTTCTATGTCTGCTTTTGTGCAAAAAATTAATAAGAGAATATGTCTAACGTCTATTAAACGATGAGCTGTATAGTTTGTCTCGCTCGTTCAAATCAAATTAGAAAAAAAAATGTTAAATAGGCGCTACAATACGTGTCAAAAAGTTTTCGCGACAGAGTGGGAGAGTGGAAAGTTCTCTTGTTTATTTTACGGAATTAATTACGAAAAACGTAATAATTTTGCAAAATTGCGAATATTTTAGCTGTACAGTATTTGAAATACCAACAGAGGATAGTTTGGAAGTGGATTCCTATTACGACCTTCGAGTTGCGGGCGTTCTACTTAATTCTAACTTGGTTACACCAACTTTATAACTTCAACATCCGAAAGGTAAAGTACCTTTTTTTGCACTATGACTGATGTGAACGCGCCTTCTAGTCATTACCTTAATGATTTTTTTGATAAATTGTACTAATTTATTTGGAAAACCAGTAAATGTATGCTATTAAGTAACTTCGTGTTTGTATGATAAAACATTTCCGCTCTCAAATTAGCATGCAAAATCGACGGAAAAGTGTATACGAAAATATACGTTAAGTTTATATATATATAGCTGTTAAAGTTATTTTATTTTGTACTGCAAATATTATTTTCTATCCATTATTGTATTCCACATTCCAAGAGTTACTTAACAATAATAATAGCGTTTTGTGAGTGACCTGTATGTGTTAGTCCCATGTTCCCACACAAGCCTGCCGAAGGACTGGGCTGTCCTGGTTAGATACATACAAATCTAATTTCACAGGCTTTTATTATATTACCATGATAATAATAATAATAATAATAATAATATCATTGGCATATGCTTTATAAATGTGGCTTGGAAGTTATTACCGCTACTACCCATGTCACTAGTTGTAGCTGCCATGATGAAGTATGGAACATATTTGCCATTGTCAAGTCAAGATGAATCATCTTTATTTCATGGGTAAGCAAATTACATTTGAAATTGTCACGTTGATTAAATTCTACTGTTCAGTCGTAAGGCAGATTCCATTGAGAAGAATGAGCAAGAAACTCTAGGGGTTGCTGTTTGTAAATATACATTTGAATACATTTATCATTTGCAATATTTATTTCAAACATCTTTGATTGAGAATACCTGCAACAGTTAAATGGGTCACTACCACAATTTTGTCATCCGAGTATGCAGAATCTGTAATTAACCTATAGAATACAGTTTTTGTTTCACTATAGTTTTAAACCTCGCAAATGACAAATTTTGAACATCACTGGGAATTTTATTATGGAAGCGTATACATTGCCCCTGAAATCAATTGGTGAAGAACAGCTAGTTTATTTTTATTCCTCTTATTAATGTTATGTCTGTCACTCTTTTTTATAAAAAAAATTGCTATTTATGAAAATGTAATTTATATTTGACATAAATTACATTTTCATAAATGTACTGTGATGCTAATGTAAGATTATTAATCTCTTTAAACTTATCTCTCAAAATTATGTAATGAAAGCATTGACTTACAAATAAAGAAAGGATTTGTCAATCGGCGTAACGTATTTCTCCATTTTTGCTTAGGGTGTGCCAGACGTACAGTGGATATGAATAGTACGCCATTGCGAGGAGACTCCTTTCATGCACCCCGATAGCATAATAAAAATAATTAACCTTTTTAAAAACCTGTGTTCTGACTGTAGACTAAAGATGTGTGTCAGGATTTTTCCAAGTAGAAGGCTGGGGTCTCTGCCGCTTCATATAGGGAAAGATCGTGAAATGTATGTATGTAACGGCCCCCATGGCCGAACGGTTACCATGCCGGACTGTCACGCAGAGGACTCAGGTTCGTATCCCGGGCCGGGCGAAATATTTTGGGTGTAATTTGTGGTTTTCTATTTGTGTGTCCATGGCACCCGTGACTCAGGGTTTAGGGTAGTGCGGGGCTATGTTGAGTGTGTGCGTAAAACCTGTGTCGACTTGACTCCTGCTTTAAGAATATATGGTTTAACAAAGCATTGTGGCTTGGAAAACCACGTGTTAACTCTTGTGCAGAGAAAAAATAGAGTGCAGATTCTGCCACAAGGCGGACGAAACTCCTCTGCATCTCCTCAATCAATGCTGCCCCTTGGTGGTCGTACGAAGGTTCATACTGAAAAGGTACAGGCTACACTGTCGAAACCAGGAAGATTCTTCGGTGTAGTGATGAGTGACATGGGTCTTGAATGAAGCCCCACTAATGATAATAAGAGTCGGTTGGAATAGATATATAGTTAGATGTGTAAGAAATGGTCCTACTTAGAATCTGATTCTGTACCAGCTATCACGCATCTTGCATGAGGGAATTAACCCTTTGGGCTACTGATTTCTTTTTATGATACGAAGTGACCCGTCACTTGATACGCGCCATCTGGTAGGCGACGTGCCTGTCCATAACAATTACAGTAATGCCACTGCGCCCGTCACCCTGAGATATAAAACTTGAAAAGTCCCATATGTTTACATTTCTGCTTGATGGCAGAAATAGATATAAAGTGGCAGTACTTCCTTGGACGAACTCTTGCATAAGGAGCTCTACTGTTACTAAAATACTAATGTTGTCTTAATAGGGTCTGCTATGTATTTATTGGTCAGAAGGATATTAAAAAAAACATATATAATAACTAAAATCAACTTTGTAACTCAAGGAAAAACTAACAGTAATAAACGAATCGCTATTGAGTTTGAAAAACGTGATTAATATTACATCATTTTGCGCTTTGTCGTCGAGTTGCGGATACCAGCCCGTTGCACCAAGTACCAAGTACATCATTTTTATTATAAGATGTAATCTGACGTACAACTGACATCACCAAGGCTAAAGAGAAAAGTATAATGTTAGTTTTCCATCGGCGAGGCGTCAAGAGACGAGGTTAGACGAGAATTGAAATCTTACCGGTCTACTTCCACCAAAAATTGCCATTAATAGCTCGCACAAACGCGAGCTGTGATTGTGGTTAGTGAAGATTCTGTTTCGTTCAGTTTATCTAGCGTAAAAGTGAGTAACATGTTCCGTAAATTGTTATTATACATTATGTTAATGGAAGAAGAATCAGATGAAACCATCGTTTTTAAATCTCAAATCGTACGGACCTTACAATCTCGCGATTCATATACATAGCCTTCGCGAGATCCCGCGAGAAATCATGTTTCCGTTAGACTGTATAATGCTCTATGTAGGCAGCAATACAGTTCAATATTACATCAACAAACATTTCCTTTTCCACCGAAGATGCGCGAGGAGAGGATTGATTTGCCATACAAATTTCGATCTTCGTCTCGCCTCATCTCTCCTCGCCTCGCCGGTGGACAACCACCTTAACACCGTGATTTAGGAAATTATTAAAAATAGACAATACGTAGCAGTATAACTGAGATAATGTCTTAAGGTCATTCTATGTTCAAACAGTACGTTAAATTCGTCGCATTAATCTCAAACAACATTATCTATACGGATACTGTTTATTAGATAATATCCCTTAAATACTGGACAAACGTACTTAAGTAATGTCACATAAATTGAACTCACTTTCTTAATTGTGACAATTAAGAAAGTGAAGTAAATTTAATTTTAAATGATTAGGGATATCAGCAAAATATGCTACTCGGGAGATCTAACTAGGAGCTACTACAAAATAAGCTACTAGCTATGTAACTAAAGCACTTGCGTTAAGGAAATCGGAAACAACGACGGTACCACAAACACCAAGACCCGAGACAATAGAAGAATTAGTTTTTCTACATTGACCCGGGGATAGAACCCGGAACCTCGGAAATGGCGACACCTTGAAAACCGGTGTGCAAGCCACTCGACCACGGAGCTTGTCATACAGAATTTTGTAGATAGCGACTACGCTATCCAAAATTCTGTATGACAATAATATACAAATATTACACGTAAGGGCGCGTTCCCATTATGTCGTAACGTTTTATTTATCGTTGAACGACTGTCGCGTCTAGCCTGTTCCCATATCACGACTATCCATTGTGACTGTGTCGTGGACATTTATTTTATCATTGAACGACTGTCGTGTCTAGCTGTTCCCACTAGATCGTGACGACAATTTATCGGTTCACGACAGCCGCCTTGTCGTTTACACGACAGAATCGTTTGAAGCTACGATTACCTGTCGTCACATTTTTATCGTGACGTGTTATTTACCATCGGACGATTGTCGTTCTAGCTCTTCCCATTGTCACAACAGTCTGTCGTCATAACGTCAAAAGTAGTAGTAGTAGTAGTGTTTTACTATATGTGAACAACTTCATTTAAATATACATATAAGTCACGACACTTTAAACTGCACGACTATCTGTCGTCACGACATAATGTGAACGCGCCCTAATTTAGTTATTAATTTTAAAAACAGAATTCAATTTTTTTGATATGTGTATGCGTTATCGTGAATCAACCAGACGTTGATGGTTATAATTACCACATGATACGGTCTATGTAGTATTATAATATTGCGCATGTAAATAACATAAGGTTTTGTTGTTTGCATATTTAAATACAATAGCATTTTAATACAATACATTTCTAATGTATATGGAATTCTTTGAGTTTTTCTATTCATCGGAGTTTACTTGGTTATGTTTGAAAAAATTTAAGCAATTTTAGTAATTACTTCTGTTATAGTTAATTTTGATTAAGAGTCTACCATACTACCTCAGCTCGAATTCAATTTTTTTTTCCCGTACTAATACGGTTCATTTTGCTTGTGTGTGGCGGCAGGAACACTGGCTATATTTCAGATTTTTTTTAGAAACGATACGAAAGCCATTTGGAAAACGTATATCGTATGGTATACGTGTTCTATTTAATTGACTTGAGATAAAAACAAATCATTGGTACATGTAAAATACCTATTGAATACAGCGGTTTTCTTGTATAATTTCGAGGTCAGTTTGTTTTTTTTTTCCTATCGTGAAAATAATCACTAATAAATGTAGTTATAATATCCTCAGTTTAGTGATTGATTCAACATTTTCATTGTTATACGGAATCATCCAAAGACAATGGTGGTGGTATAGACTTTTAACTGCGTTACTTGCAGTGCATTTTCTCTTTCGATTTGGCTCTAGAGGTGTTTTATAAAAGTTGATGGTTCGATATCATCCTTCGCCATGTAGAGCATGTTCTATGACCAAACGTTCTTGATGTTACCAATATAAGCGTAGTTTTAGTGATTTAAAGTAACCTTGGAGCATTTAGCTGTATGAGCTTTCATATTCACAATTGAAATTATTTTTTCAGCAAAAATGACAACCGCAGACACAGTAACGTTTGAGGACTTAGAATCGACAGACGTAATCAGCGTGGAACTCGTGCCAGAGCGGAAGGGGCTCATTCTCAAACACTGCGAGTATTATGTCAGCTCTAGGAGACACGGCACCACAGTCACGAGGAGGTACAACGAGTTCGTGCAGTTATATGACGTTTTGTACGCTAAGTACCCTTATCGGTAAGTGTGTATTTAAGGCTTTTGTTTAAATTTAAATTAACGAAAAATTTGCTCGTTACGAATATAAGGACTTGAATCCAGACAGCTTATCTGATCAGTCTTGTGAGTCAGTGAGACTGGCAGTGAGAAAATCCTTTCCTTGCACCCCTTATCCTTTCCACCTTTCGTCAGTTACCTTAGGTTGCATGGTAACAGGCTTCCTCTACTATCTATATACGTATATAATAAAGTAGTATGTGGTTAAGGCTAGGCTGTCAAAGTCAAAGAATTTTATATTCCATTGGTAAAAGAAACAAGAAAACGTCACATTTAAGTTACTGCTCGTTTACTACGCTGAGTTCCCTGAGAAGAACGAGCAAGACTATCTAGGGATTGCTCTTTTTCAAATAAACTTAAATGCTATGGAATACAGTTTGTATGGAATCTAGAGCCATGTCATCTTTCATACATCTTTATCTAACACAATGTCTTCAATTTTGTAATATGACTTTTCAATAAAAAAAAATTATGTAGCTTTTAAACTTAGAAAATGATAATGTTAATATATTCTAAAAACGTACACAGTTCCCTATAAAAGAGTCGTTTACCTTGGTTAAATGAAAGCTGTTAAACGGTAGGAACGTAGGGTTGTTTGTGATAGGTTACAGCTTTCCCTTACCATTTCATGTATAGCCAATTACACATACAAGACGATCTCAACAGTAATACTCATATCACATTCAACAAATGCTACACAAAGACAGACATTAAGTTACTTGGCGCTACATTTCGGTTTATTAGGATTTGCAATTTGGTAACTTTCGAGATAAGTAATTGTAACCTAAAGTTTATTTTTCTCTGAAAATGTAAGTTACGCTGTTAAACTACATAAGAGAAAAATCACTTATAGAGGGTTGTGTTTCATTGATTCCAGATATTATGTTTATTTATTTATTTATTTAAACTTTATTGTACAATACACAGAAGTACAAATGGCGGACTTAATGCCATAAGGCATTCTCTACCAGTCAACCATTGGGCCAAACAGAAAAAAAACACAATAGGTTGGTGCTACACTTAAACAAGAAGAAATAGAAATACTAGAAAACTAATCGATAATTTGTATGGTATAAATAAATAACATACAATAAACATACTTATTATACATACATAATAAACTTACATATATATATAATAATAATAAATAATATGATATATGTACCCAAAGCAACATTAAACAGTGTCTTAATTTTGACTATTGTCAAACAGATGCTTGCGCAACATGCGCTTGAAAGATAATTTGGTCTGAGCTTGTCTTACATGGAGCGGGAGCGCGTTCCAAAGACGAATTGCATGAAGGGTAAAAGAATTAGACAAAAAATCAGTGCGATGAGAAGGAATGGAAAGCTTAAGGCTACGGGAAGATCGAAATTCGCAACCCGGCCGAGCGTTTTGAAATTGAAATGAACATTTAAGATAATCAGGTGCAGCCGGGTCGAACAAGATGGAGAAAAGAGTGGTTAAAATTCTTAAGGACCTGCGTTCACGGATGGGAAGCCAATTTAGTTGACGACGACAAGCAGATATATGGTCATACTTCCGCAGACCAAAAATAAACCTAATGCAGTTGTTAAGAAGACGATCTAATCTATTCAAAAAGACTTGAGAGATGTTACTGTAACACACGTCAGCATAATCAATCACAGGCAACACTAGAGCTTGAACAAGGAGAGTTTTGGTTTTAAT